GGCAGCCTAGAAGAAAAGTGTTCCCCCAAACTGCCCTCGGGCTCCGCCACCAATGTGGGTTCGTGGGGGGCCCAATCCCAAAACAACCAAAGGGTTCCCTGATAGCAGCGCAGAAAGAACCAGGTGTGGGCCAGCGCAAAAGCAAAGCAAAATGCAGCAGCTTGTTTTCTGCTGTGAGCGAGCGGTCATCTAGATGCCTTCGAGTGAGAAAAAGCAAGCGGCGCCACCACATGCGACAAGCACCAACGTCAAGCTTCAAAAGCACAACCTGCAAGTCACATTTACGTCTAACTTGACTTGCTCCAGTTGAAGTTTAATTCTAATTCAGTGCTAGTTCAACTTCTAGTTCACTTCAAGTTCATATCTCATTTAATTCTATTTCATTTTAACTTAGTTCAAATTATATAAGTTGTAAGTCAAGCCTAATTTCATTCTAGTTCAATCCTAATTTCATTCTAACCAAGTTCTAAATTAAATAGTTCTAACTCAGTTCCGTTAAATTCAGTTCTAACTCAACTCTAATTCTAAATTGATGAAAACGTACGTAGTTCTATTTTGATGCTAATTTGGTGCAATTTTATTTCTAACCCAGTTTTAACTAAATTCTCATGTAATTCTTATTCAAATCTCATTCAATTATAATTTAATGGTCAGACATGGAGGGGAGGGGCAGGCTACCACTTAAAAGATCATAAGAACACAAATGCTATATAACCACGTATTTTATAGTGTTTTCTTGCCCTGGGAGTGCTGGGAACTAGGTCAAAACACGGTTGTTGAGTAGATAGCTGCATTTTTCTAAAAGTAATCTCTAGGAATAATCATTTCTATATTTAAAAAGGCTTTTTGTAAGAGCTTTTCTTCAACAGCTTTCCTCTAAAGTTCTGGAAATAGTCAGATCTGTAGTCAACAAGCCTTATATAAAGCTGTCATTTCAATAGCTGTCCTCTAGATCTTTGTGAATGTTCACTTTTTACAATAAAAACTGTATAAATACTGTATACATATATACAGGCTTTTATTTCAAAAGGTTTCCTACAGATTCGTGGGAATAATAGAAGCGTTCCTCTAGATATCTGGGAATGATGACTTCTATATTGAAAAGCTTTCTATAAAAAACATTTTTTATTTTTTCAATGCTTATTTCCCAGATATGTGTGCTTTCTGTATCTTTGTAAAACATGTTTGCAGTATCCAAAATTTATGGAACACCAAAACGCAGGCCCCATGGCATGCCGCTCTCTCTAGTTTTTTGATAATCTGATAGAGACAAAGCAAGAACAGGCACCAACAGTCTGGAGTTCTAAAAGCCTTTGGAGTTCTGGTTGGGATCTATGCCATTGGTGCCGTGAAGTGCTGAGCGATCGACGAGACGTCGGATCGACGAAGTGAGATCAGACAAACACGTGATTTCCTCACGTGTTTTTTGATGGCAGACAAACACAAGGCTGACCATATCTTTGTCATGACACCTGGATGCGGGAGTCTTTCTGTCTCCTTTCAGTTCAGTTCTGTGAGGTCCTGGGAGGCCTCATACGCTCCTTACTGCAGATGTGGCCCTTCGGGAGACAGGCCGAAATGTCATGTGTTTGGAGAGGCGTAGGGTTTGTTTAAAAGACAAACAAGAACAGTCCTGTCATTTCATGTTCTCATGCTGCAAAGTTTGGCTAAGGGCAGGTCGGGTGAGACTCCTGCCCGACTATAGTTTCTTTTTTTGCACAAGGCACTGGCAAAGATCTTGATTTTCAACTTGGCCTTGTTCTCAGATCGCAAGAGCCCAGTTCATGAAATCATAGTGGCAAAAATTGAGAATGACATGAACTCTATAGAATCATAAACTCCGGCGACCAACCCCATCAACCGCAGGAATTTTGTTTTGACAACCAGAGACCACCCAACCACGCAGTTGTCCATGTACCGAGTTCAAGACCAAGTGTTGAGATGAACCACTCCTCACAGTTTCATCTTCTCATCCCGAGCAGAGGATGTTTCACCTTTGGAAGCCCTGCTGAGGTGGCTGGAAATTTGTTTGCTATCTGGCACCAGGGCCACCTGCTGGGAGAGCACCATGAACCGCAGGAACGAGAGCCACTGACACCGAAAGGCAAACTCTTGAGGCGGTGGGCACCTAAGACATGCGAAGAGAAGGCTCCTTAGATGTGCCTTGGAGCTTGGAGTGGGCCCTGCAAAAGAAGCAGAAAAGAAGGGAAGGGGCCCTCGGCTCCTCTATATAATCAGGCCCCCTTTGGATGGGGCCTTATTTGTAGGACCCTACGTTCCTTCTATTTCCTTTTCTTTTGCAGAGCCCACTCGGCCTTTGTTCTTCCTTAAGATCCCAGGCGAATCTTCCTCTTCCTGTTGGCAGAGCTCCAGCGCACCATGCACTCCTTTTGCAGCTGCTGCAGGCCTAGGGATGGTGCGAATCCTACGCACATATATAATTCCCTTGTTTTGCATGCTCAATTTAAGGGTGTCTTGAACAATGGGATGCTGACCACCTGGTTGGGTTTTTTCTCAGGAACTTCTGCCTGTTGCAAAAGCTTGCCCGGAGGGGCCATTGCTGCCACGTGTTTGGACTTTTCCACTCTGTCCTGGGATCTAGATCTTCCAGTACGTAGTGATGACTTTGGAATCATGTGGTATGAGTTGGATATTCTCTTTATGCTGCATACAGGTAACTGGCTTCCTGTTAGATTTGTTACAACGATGACAAACTATCCAAAGCATACAAGTTCGATTTATCAGAGGTTGCTATCCAATAGAAGCTTGTGGCATCAAGTTGCTTCTTCACCCATGATACAGGAGACTGCAGCCTCCTTCGCTGGTTCGACTAGGGTTCCACAGAAGCTTGATTGGAGGTATTTCAGCCCGGCCTACTGCCCCAAACACATCGGCGGCCATCAAAGTTCTCCCCCTCTCTCTATGTACTGTATATATATATATATGTCGAGACAGGTCTACTTAAGACAGTTGTACAAAATGCACCACGTGTACTTTTATATGTATGTTGCGTGCTTTTTCAATAGCATTTATCGAGAAATTTGCGCGAAAAAGACGCGCCTTTTTCACGCCTGGTTTTGTCGTTTCTACATAGACCACAGTGGAATTTCGACTTCAAAACTATCCCATTTTTTCCGAGGGTTCGTCGCGCATCTGCCTGTGCATCAGCAGCGGGGGTTCCGGGAGGTGGGCAAGATGTTTGCATGCGCGTTGTCTTGCACACTCATGTGTATTTGTGTATCTCAAGGGGGGGTTTCGCGGGGGTGGGCCAGACGTTGCTATTTGCGCCTGGCGAAAGAAAACACACTGAAGCACCGGTTTTGTGCGCCCCTTCCGGAGATAGGAACCAAAAAGCAAAGGTTGCAGGATATGGTGAGGTCCAGGTCAATACTGGCCCTGTGGATCAAATGTGGGCTGATGTAAAGCGGTGGGTGCTGAAGCAAATGACAAGTCAACGGCTTGTTGTGATGCTATGTTTACCAGTGGTGCTCAGTGGTGGCTTCGAACATCTTGTAAAGATGTGACACAGTGAAGGTAAAAGCACTACGCACAGTGGGCAGAAGCTCGCACTGACTGGCTGAAGTGACGCGGCGGCCAGTACGGAGAAAGATTCGCTCACCGCCTCCCCGTCTCGCTTCCGGCATTTTTAAAGACAGTGACCAAGTACTTTAGGACCATCCCCAAAACACTCACTGTCTTAAGTAAGCCCATTGTTGATAGGCGTAATTTATACCAATGTGTCTAAAACTGTATCTGCCAAAAAATTCCCGCCCGGGCATTTTCAGCACTCTATATATAATGCAGATAAGGACGTTATGTATGTTTTCCACGCCTGCGAAAAATAAAATGCGACTTTAGACTCTAGACACGTTTTCATACAAACCAATCAGAAGACATCTGAAGCTCGCACAGGTGACAAGGTGCATAGCTCCCATAGGCCAAAGGGTGAATGGCATCAAGCTCACAGAGGCCACAGGATGAAAGGCATCAAACTCCCACAGGTCAAGGATATGTGGCTGTAACAACAGAAGGCTTTAAACCTCTGCGGGGAGCATCCACGACCGACTACAATACCACACCCAATGCTAGACCTGTTGGAACTAGGCAGTCCAAAAGCACAATAGAAAAACACACAAAGCACGGGAAAACACACACTCTGACATTGGTTTTCAGTGAACTCAATTCCCAGGAAAAATGGCGATGGAACCGAAAGGTGAAAGGGTCGGAGCACCTGAAGATGTTTCAACAAATGGTTTGTGCACATCTGCAGCTCACGAAAAACGGCGGTGGCAAACGTCAGCGCGGCTCAGCTGGAAGAAAGGGGTTGGGGGAAGTATCATGCAAGAACCATGGAAACAAAAAGACAGCGACAGGGTGGACCATTGGAGTCAGTGTGTTGGTCAGCAGGTACAGGATCAAGCGTCCTTGATCCCTTCCCGTCTGTGGTCGTAGCTTCGTTGCGTGCAGTGGACCACAGATGCTGCACGCCCCTGCTCGAAAAACAAAGGACAAAAGGACAAAAGGGGGAAGAACCCTTAGAAACAGGGCTTGACACACACACACACACACGCGCTAGAGTCCCGCTCTCATATATAGTAGTTCAAGAATTACTATTATTTGTTGATTTGATTTGATTATTTGCCAACTATATTGTAACTTTGCAAAGATTGTCTATTTAGACATTTGTATTTTCACTTGCATTCTTGCCAGCGCAAGAAATAGTTGTTTTGTTTAACACATAGGGAAACAGTTGTGTTATGCTGCAGTTTTGGGCGATTGAATTGAGTCTTTTTCAAAGTGGACCCTGGTCCTTCCACAGAACTCAAACCGAATGTAAAAAGAGAAGAGACATTCGATGCCATGCAAGTGCACTTTAAAGTTTAAACAATGCTCTGTGCAGTGCAGCTTGAACGAAAAAACAATGTCACATTGATGCTAATAGGTGAGGGACACAAGAAACAGATATATAAGAGAACAAGATAACGCCGATTGTGAAACAATTTTTGTTATTTTTTTGTGCACGCGAGTCTAGTGATTGCACGTTCAGTGATGCATCCCTTTGGCTGTTGCCAGTGGACAAGGTCCAGTCTCGGCCGGATCTCTTGAACAATTTTGGTACAGGTTTCGGCAGAGAAAGTCAGAGCAACGCGCCGGACATGGACAACATCACAACCGTAGAAGCAACGTGGACGCAAACGCAGATACAACAAGAAAACCGCGAGCAATCATACTGTGGACAAAGTGAAGCGCCATGCTGAAAACAGTCTTTAACTCTAACTCCCCTCCAACAAACGACACGTGAACAACATGTGGAGAAATGAACATAAGATGAACATGTGCATGGCCGCTGGCGTGCTTATATATGTAATATTATACTATGAATATATTATTGGTGCTAGCAAAAACACACACATTCAGATCTTTGGCTTGAATCTCGAGTTGGCTCCCTGAATAAGCGCTCTATTCACATTTGAGTTTATACCGTGTCCGAAACTGGTACTTATATATTGTGCCAGACACCCCGGTGTAGGCGTGTACAGGCCCCTTCCCCTTTTGCTGGATGTCTTGCATGCCTAAGCGCCTGTGAGGACCAGTGCCAATTCAGCCTTTCGCCACCCATGCTAGACCAAGTCATGGTGTGGATGTTTCACTGCATTCTTATGTATCATATGTATGCATCTACGCATGTATAGACACTTACATATATATAACTCCGTGGTCCGGGGTGGTATGTTTTGTGCATTATTTGTCGGTGGTACATACCCACCCTCTAGTACCCCTACGTAGTGGAAAGACCTCCAAACATTTGTTGTAGATAGAAAGATTACCAAAAGCCGTGGCTTTGGGTCTTACTTTGAGTCCACAGATGACCCCAGCCATTTGTGTGGACAAAAACTCTATTCTGAGATGCTTAATGTCCATATGTCGGTATGATAAGATGCAGGCACTTAGCAGCTCGTGCAGCTATCCTGCTGAGTGGGTGCACTTAGCTGCCTTAGCTGTTGTGTTGCGAAACCAAGAGTGCACCAAGTCTGTGAAATATGTGATGCTTCATTGATTGTTCATATCTGGACCAGGTAGCACCTTTTGGGTCTGACATTTTTAGATTGAAATTTTATATGTAAAACTGCACGAGGCCTCACTTGCATCATGGGCCCTGCGTACTGCCGACGCAACTTGACTGTTGCAGCTGTTGCTCGCGGCTTCTCAGGACTTGATTCGGCCAGGCCTTTGCCCGCCCTGGACCTGCTATCTTTGAAATGGTCAGGGCCCAAGCACGAAGGTCCATTGCGAGAAAAGAGAGACGTCTAATAGCAGACCATTCTGTGGATTTTTGGCGTTGGAATGTGATCCATTGCTTATATAATTGATTATCCTTGAGGCCTCGATCTCACTTTGCCGTTTTCTGGTTTGACTTGGTGGGTGTTCTGTCCTATGCCATTATTGCCACTTGGTAGACTTTGCTCTCCAAGATAAGTCTAAGATCAGTGTGCGTGGTAAAAGTGCGGTACTGAGTTCGTGCAGACAGGTCCCGCAACTGAACTTGTTCCGGCACATTGGCTGGAGACCGGAGACCTGGAAATTTAACACATGTTTGTTGGTGAGTCAAAGGTCACAATGATGTTTTTGCATGTGCCTAGGCCTTGACGTTTTCTTCGTCAGTTCAAGCTCCTGTTGTGTAGCAGCAGTGGCTGCTGATGCTCATCAGCAAGCAGATGTGTCGCTGTAACTTGGCTGTACGACCGGGATGTTGTGTGCATCAGAGGCCATGCTGCACTCCACTGCAGCCTTGACAGCACAGGGCTTAGGGTGTTGGCCCGGATTGTAGGTTGGAGGCCATCGCTTCTAGGTTGGAGGCCATCGCTTCTAGGTTGGAGACCATTATTAGGTTCCCATCGCATTTAGGTGTTGGGCCAGATTGCCTGAACGCGCGGCTCCACCCGCCGACTGTTTCTCGGTGCTCTGAGGTGGCCATGATCGCGGGCCTATGTCTCAGCAGCTGCTGTGCAGTGATCAGCGCGGTGCTCACTGCAGACATGTCAGAGAAGGCCCAAGGGCCTGCTTGGGCCTTTCGTTGGAGATGTCCGTGATGTCAATGTCGACGTCGAAGACAAATAAGATCAAATAAGCATATAGTTGGCTTTCATTTAATTTCATTTTCAATTCTTTCTTACAGATGCTAGTAATTAGGATGGAGGCCATCGCTATTAGGGTGGAGGCAATGGCTACTAGGGTAGAAGCTATTATCCCTTTGGTTCTTTCTCTCTGAGAGGCTCCTCACCTCGCCGATGTGGGCGTGCGATTGGTATCCTGACCAAACGGTAATGCAGATTTTGCGCGAGCCTGGCGGGGAGTGGCTAAGGCCTGGGGACTTCTTTGTGGAGCAATGGCACAGTATGTGGGGGCGCATCTGGGACAGGCAGATGCAATTCCGCAAGCCTAATTGTTGCAGGTTCTTCACAGGAGTTGCGCTAGACGGGTTTCTGCCAGGTGCTTTTCCTGTGGAGCTCCTGGTCGGGTGTTTGTGGCTTTGCTTTGAGTTGCCTGGTGGCTTCTCGATACTGGACTCAGCAGGCACCGCAGGACATGTCCAAACAGTAAACAGACTGACACCTTTAATTTCACAATGCACATCGTATGCATGTATTTATGAAAAGTGCTACTTGGCCTTGTAGCAGTGGGCGGCTCAAGTCGTTGTAGCCTAAGGGGCTCCAATTGTACAGCGGAGTCATGTCCCTCTCCGGCTGCTGTGTCGTAAGCCGAGACTTCGAGGACAAGTCGGATGTGGACACAGCAGCTGGGCTCTTATCCAACTTCCAATCGAAGCATGCGAGTCTTGCGAAGTTGGTCCATGAGGAAGAAGAGATGCTTTTGACGTTGTCCTTCTATTTGGAGCGCGTACGATTTGATACTCTTCGACAGTCGAGCCGATCTTCTCCAGAGAAGGCTGAAGGGACAACATCGCCCACGGAGCAGAGAGAGGTGCAGTTTTCAAAAAGGCTGAGTGAATGTCAGGAAATTGGAAGTCGCCCTCCTGCTGGTGAGGGCATTGAGTGGAGTGAAAGGCCGACTAGATCGCGGCCAATTCCCGCGCCTCTTTACCTCTCAAACGTGCCACCCTCACCAATCAAAAGTCGCTCTCGCAGTCGAGCAGGCTCTTCAAAGGGCAGTCGCCCAGCCAAGTTTCCCTCAGAGGGTGTCAACAACATGTACTCGATCAATGGCATTGGTGACTTCCCAACAGACATGCGGAACTCCTTCGTAGATATTGTGAAGTCTTTTCACTCGACAATACAGAATCAGACTCTTTGTGGCAGATGGCTTGCTCCTTGCTTTCTTTGCATGTCTCACGTTCTGGACAAGCTCTATTCTTTCAGAGAGCCGGAACGAACCAGCTGCCTAGCCCGGCTCGTGAAAAGCCAGTTCTTCAGCATGCTATCGACCATTGTCATTTTGGCCAATGCAGCCTTCATCTTCTTTGCAACCGATTATGAAATGCAACACCTCAATGAGCCGACACCCCAAGCCATCAGGATTGGAGATTTGGTGCTGGCCTCTTTCTATGTCATAGAAGTATTCTTGAAACTACTAGTGCACAGGGCCTACTTCTTTTGGAATGTCGATTTTGGGTGGAACTGGTTTGACTTCTTCCTGGTCATTGTCTCTGTCGTAGAGAACCTGCTGGCTTATGATTTGTCACCAAGTGAAGCGGCTTCTGATCCGGTAAATCTGGGCTTCCTGCGCTTGCTCCGCTTGTGCAAGATTGTCAAGATCCTGCGCATCTTCCGCACTTTGCGGTTTTTCAGCGACTTGCGCCTCATGCTGGATTGCGTGCTTGGATCCCTCATGAATGTCATGTGGTGTATTATAATGCTGGTTTTCGTTATGTACGTCTTTGCGCTCTTCGTCCAACAATCCCTTGTGGGCTTCCTCCAAGAGGAAGCTGCAAAACCATCGGACAAAGATACCACACTGATCTTCCACTACTTTGGCTCGGTGGAATACACACTCTTGACTCTTTTTCAATCAATCACTTCTGGTGTTGACTGGAAGGACCCCTATGATGTTCTTGAAGTGTCAGGGCTACTGCAAGTGACCTACGTTGCCTATGTGGCCTTTGTTTTCATCTCCGTTTGGAACATTGTCACGAGCACCTTGCTTGCACATATTCGCGTTCTTGTGGCTGTCTGTGATATTACGGAATATTGGGTTCGGTAAAACTATGTAAAACTAGATCAAAATGATCAGAGTTGGTTTTTGCTCGAAGGTACATTTGTGGAGAAGGCTTTGAAGCTGGCTCAGCCTGATATTGATCTACTTGTGGTGGAGCAGCAACTGCGTGATTTTGAAGATACGCAGATGTTGGCGCAGCTCTTTGGAGATATGTTGCAGACAGATGAAGAGGGTGAGCATAAAGTGGGGCTCAAAGAATTTCAAACGCTCTTGGAAACCTATCAGTTCAGGTCATACCTTCAGACCAGGGGTATTGACATCAAGAACGCAGAGACTTTCTTCAAAATGCTGGTGGAGCTGCAGGGAGAGCCGACCATTGATGCCATCACTTTTGCAAATGCATGTGTCCGGATGAAAGGAGCTGCCACGAGCATCGACTTGCAGACGGTCATGTTTACCACCCACTTGATGAACAAAGAGCAGAGACGTGCCTTTCAGTTTATGTACAGTCGCTTGCAGAAAATCGAGTCTCTCCTCAATGGTGGTGGTGAATGGTCTGAATCCGTGACGTCACCCAAGGCTGTGTCGCGGAACTTCAGTGGCAAGAGTATTTTATCGCCGACAAGGCAAGAATTCGAAGGACAGAATGGCAGGAGTCTGTCTCCGAGTACTTTTTGATCCACGTCCAAAGGACGTTGGACAAACCCTTGAACAGCGTGCTTATTGAAAGTAAAGGTCTCCGTTTTCATCCCTTTTCAGGTATATAGTATATGATATGTTCATTGCTCATCCCTTTCGGACAAACACACTGTTAGGATGTTTTGTACTTGGGAAGGATTGGTGTCGCAAGTTGCATTGCCTTGTTTCTTGAGCGGCTGAATCTCAGCTGTCGAGGCTCTGCCCAGCACAAGCTCTGCCCAGATAGATTCACGGGTCTCTTTCTCCACTACTTGGGGATCATTTAGGAACAAGAAGCTACTAGGGGCTCCTGGCATCGCTACTAGGAGCGTTCGGACGCTACTAGGGGCTCCTGGCCTTCCTACTAGGAACAAGAAACTATTAGGAACAAGAACGCTACGGGGCACAAAAAGATCCCATGCAAGCCGCTTCGTACCTCCGATTTGTTGTCCGCTTGCCGAGCGATGCAGCCTGAGCCGTTGCTGCTGAAGGTTGGACACACGCAATGTACTGCGAAACCGATTCCATCTTGCCTTGAACCGAACGCAACAAATCACACCTCAGTACATGAGGTATATTATATGGGGCATTTGTGAATGTATAAGAGGAAACCCACCAAGCCAAAATTGTTGACGAGTCCAAACATTTAGAGTCTACAGCCACTGTTCCGCACACACTGAAAACAACAAGAACTTTGAAATGAACCGAATGAAACGTCACTGCTGTTCCGCACCTGTTGGTGTTCCTATTCAGGTGATGCGCTTGCGGCGGCCAAGCATGGCGCCCAGCGGGGCTCTGAATGGCCTGGAGGTGCCCAAAGCCTTGGTGCCCATGGCTCCTGGGCGAAGAAGCTGAATGCTAGGAGCAAGAAGCTACTAGGAGCAAAGGGCATCGCTACTAGGAGCAAGAACGCTACTAGGGGCTCCTGGCCGTACTACTAGGAGCAAGTAGATACTAGTACAGTACTTTCTACACCGACTGATGAAGGAATTGGAGAGGTTTTCGGAGGTCTGTGACTAGAAGGGTACGTGATCTATGCACATCACACATATCCCATGGTGGTTCAAGGGCGGACCCGGGTCAACACAAGTTCCAACACAAGACATAATTCATAGCGACAGAAACAAGTGTTCAGCTTTTAGCTTTCGATACGTCGCGTATCGTCGCTCTAGACGGTTTTTCTAGTTGGTAGCGGAGCCGGTAACCCCGGCGTAGGATCCAGGGCCCCTGACCTGAAGTTCCATCGACGCTCGCTAGGACAGATCACTTAGGCTTCATCCATATCAAGATATATATAGATAGGTGATCATGATGTTCTCACTCACCCGCGTCGGAATGATGGTGCTAGCGGTGGTTAGCCTGATCATTCTCGGGGTGAGGCAGTCTTGGGGAGACCCAAGGCTGTCTCATCTTGAGAGTGTGATGGACACCACCGGAGGTCAGAGGTCTCAGCCAGTGCCCAGGCTTTCGTCCAATGCAAGCCAGCCTGGGCACGTTCGTTCGCTAGGTGAGGTGGAAGGTCAGACATCTTGGAGGTTGCAGGAGGTCAGATCTTCGAACGCCACAGGTGCATCTCACGAGGCGGCGAAGGCTAGGATTCCGAAGCCCAATGACAAGCTTCGCTCCTATCACAGGGCCAGCCTTAAGACTCGACCGACTCGGAAGGGTTCTCGGAGCGCTGAACTCAAGAGGAGGCGACGCAAGCGGTGGTTGAAGGCCCGACACAAGGATGCATTGTCGAATTCGAGTGCTTGGAATTCATCAAACGCTTCAATCTCCATCTCGGAAGAGATCAGAGGGATTGTTGAAAGTACGCTGTTGGCGTCCAGCTCATCTCCCGAAGAGGATCTTGTCGGACGCCGCCTGATGAATACACGTATGCCGATTGGAATCTTTGATAGGAGCATCGTCTTGATCCAGTATGTGGCTGCATCTTTGGCAGCGGTTGCCCCATGCTGTGTTCTCGGATTCATGCATCCCGGATTTGGTTCCTCTCGCAACCCCAAGCTGCCACCAAGCTGGGGGCCTGAGCTTGAAAGCAACTATCCCTTCGTCCATTGGAGCCGTGATGTGCTTCTGTGGAGCATCATGAGTGAATGGGATGGTGGCCGGAAGGCAGCAGCGCTTCTCAGTGTGCTGACTGGCAATGCCAGAGAGCTTGCCAGGACGATCCCTCCAGCAGTGATCTTGAATGGAGGCGTGATCAATGGCCAGGCAGTGGACTCGGTGACCTTCATCATGCATTCGCTTGCCCAAAGGTATGCAAGGCTTGGTGAGGAACAGCGTCTCGAGGCCATCCAAGGCCTGCTCTCGTTCGATAGGCATTCGGGCGAGAGGATCGACGCCTTGTTGCAGAGGTTCGATGGTGCTAGGATCAAGGCTCAAGAGCATGGCAATCTTGTCCTGTCACCCCAAGGCCTCAGTTGGTTGCTTCTCAGGGCGGTAGGAGTTTCAGAACATCAGTTGTTGAATCTCTTGGCGACACCGCCGTTGAATGGGAACCTGCCAGCAGATGATCAAGGCATGGAGGCATTAAAGTCAGCACTTCGTCGAATGGGCCACATTGTTGAGAGGACACCAGGCAATGTAGCATCTTCGATGAACCGACCCAACCAAAGGTTCAATCAGGCATATTTTGGTGAGAATTTGGCACAAAGCCCAGATCAGTTCCAGGACATGTCATGGTCGAACTTTGAACATTATCCTGCAATGCCAGCCAATGATGCATCGTCATCGTATCAGCCTTCCCCACATTCGTATGACACCCCAGCAGCATATTATGCCGATGATGATTCGTGTACAGATAGTGACACCTCATCCAACACATCCCCTGTTCATGAGGAGGACATGCCAGAGGAGTTCGCCAGGCCGGAATCCGAAACGCATCGTCTTTGGTGGGCGTATAGCCGTGCAAAGCAGGCTTGGCGTTCGCACATGAACAAGCCCACCCGGAGAGTTCGTAGGTTCTTGAAGAGGGGTGGCAAGGGAAAGAAAGGGGGTAAGGGTAAGGGTAAGGCTAAGATTCAATCCACAAGCCAAAATGCCGGTGCGTATCTAGCATCATTGTCCGACCATGAAGTTGCATCAATGTTCCCCATGGCCAAAGGCCGCAATTGGCGCAAGTCGTCCGGTAAGGGCAAGGGCAGAAGAGGCAATCCCCGGGGCAAGAATGGAGAGATCATGAAATGCCATCAGTGTGGTAGCGCCGAACATCTTGTGAACAAGTGTCCACAACGATCTCAATCCAACACCACATTGTTCATTGAAACGCATGCACCATTGAGTAGCCAAGCAGCACATGATCTCCCCCCTGGAATCATCAGTGGTACGTTCTTAATGGTTGAAGAAGCCGATCCATTGCAACAGAACGATCCGTGGAGCTCGCAGTCGTATCCCATGCCACAGGGACAGCCGACCTCGTACGGACCGACTCGATCGCATTCGTACCAAGGACACATGCCACAGATGCCTCAGATGCCTTCGTTCCAGCCGGCGGCCCCGTCAGTCATGTCATGGCAGGCTCCATCCACAACCACATCATGGACCATCCCTGCGACACCCATGTCAGCACATAATCCATTGGCCCCGAATACAACATTCCGACCTTTTCCATTACGTCCCCAAGGCAATTCGCCTGCCAGTTCTCAACAGAATGATGCATTGCCACAACAACCAGCTGACGCAGGATTCTTACCTCAAGAAGTACAACCAGATCGACAACCAATACAACCAGATCGACATCAAGCTGATCGTCGTGACACGCCAGTGCCCTCAGTTCCGTTGTGGGCCAACATGCCAGAGTTCCAATTCGTCTTGGGCTCAACGCCAATGCCACCACCTGAGTTCGTGCATCCGATTCAGCAGAACGTTGTAAGCTCACTGGATAGGTATCAAAGTCAGATAATCTCAGATATCCATGACACGTCCCTGCTGTTGAACATGGAGCCATCTCAACGACCTCAAGGTGAAGAGTCAATCGTGTCCGTCGATCCAAACCAAGCCGTGTCACTGCAGCCATTTCAGGTAGTTGGACAGACCTTGAATGTATTAGAGCTTGAGCGGAGACAGAAGGAAAGGCGAGATCTTGAATCAAGAGTCCGTGCAGCCCTTCGCACTGTCGAGCCACAGCCTGTTCATGAGATTCCTGTCCCGTCCGCCACTTCTCGTGAGACATCCAATCACTCACGTTTTGATGGTTTTGATGGCTCAGTTGACACCTGCACCATCTGCCAAGAGGAGTTCGCAAATGCAGAGCCGTTAGTTCGTCTTTGCTGCAGGCACCTGTTCCATGAGACTTGTTGGACCGAGTTGCTAGTCCGTGAAGAGCAGCCAGAGTGTCCCACATGCCGAGGAGCCGGCAATGTCGTTGCGAACTTCAGGTATGTCAGTGTTGATGCACAGCATACGCCACGCCATCGTGACCCGCCAGAGGAAGAGAGCTTTGGAACACCCGAGCAACAGGCTTGGCCGTGGTGGCTGGATGCATCTGAAGGAGTGTACCATGCTCAAACCCAATTGGCAGGTGGTTCAAGCATCATTGTTGATCCAGGCGCATACACAAACCTGTGTGGCAGGAAGTGGGCAACACGCCAGGCGGAAGCAGCAAGAGAATACGGCCATAGGTCTTATCAGTCCGACATGCCCAATCCCATGGTGATTCGAGGTGTCGGCAATGGCACGCAGGGTTGCACCAAGTCCACCAATGTCCCGGTGGCTGTCCCTCGTGTGATTCGACCGCAGGACGGGTCAGATCGACCTCTCGCTCCGGGTGCAGGAGAAGCCGTTCGTTTCTCCTTCGAGGCACCAGTTGTTGATGGTCCTGGCGAAGATCTTCCTGCATTGCTTGGCCTGAAGTCCTTGACAGGACGAGGTGCTGTGCTTGAGATGAGGGAAGGCCATGAGCTCCTCACCTTCCCAGGGCCGGAGGGGTATCAGGTCTCGTGGGGCCCCGGCGCGATGCACATCCCGTTGAGTCGCGCGCCGAGCGGTCACCTCGTCTTCAGGACTGATGCCTTCTCCCAACTTCAAGCTGCACATGGAGTTGGCAAGTCTGGAGTCTCCTACAACCTCCTGTCGGAGGTGGAACTTCAGCCATCCGGTGTCTATGTTACTGGCGATCCAAGGGCGACAGCTTCGACCGCGTCTTCGAGTGCACCACCTGATATGACCACGACCCCAAGTGCACCAACTGTCGCGACGCCAATAGCACCGACTGTAGCACCAACACCGGTTCCGCCAACTACAGCACCCATGCCAACAGCACCATCGTCCACAGTAGGTCCAAAGATGGAGTCAAGTCCGAGTGCACCAGTGTCCGTACCACCGCAGGTCAATGTCCCTCCTGCGACACCAAGGACCGCACCACCGATTGGCAGCATCTTTGAAAGAATGGTTTCATCATCATTGATTACAAGAGGACCGCCGCCTGCCAAGCCGAAGTCAGTAGAGACCCATGCCAAGTCCAAAGCAGCTTCCCTGAGGCTTCGTTCGCATTCGCCAGGAGTGGCCTCGCCACCGAGTCCAGCGACTGCAAAGGCAAAGGTTGGAACAAGATCGAACTCACCACCTGAAGTTCCAGCCAAAGCAAAAGCCCGTTCGAAGCCGTCTGATCCAGCATCGAGGCCCAGGACGATGCCTACACAGCCTAAGGGTAGTGTAAGGGTCTCAGAAGGAAAGCAAAGTGAAGGCCGTCCGGCCCGTATTGTCCCAGCGCCACCTGGTCAGAGATCAGCAAAGCCTGTTATAGTTCCTGCTAAGTATCCACCACCTTCTGAACCGAAGGTTGTTCCTGCCAAGTATCAACCAGTGGTGGATACACCCGCTGCACCAGCAAG